GGGGTCTGAGTGCGACACCTCGCCTTTGAAGGGGTTGCACCTTCTGCAGACGAAGCAGTGGGTCTATTTATATCCCCCCGACCCACTGGGGGTGAAATTAGACTCTGTTCCAAACTTTTGAAAATAGCAACGAGCATGACGGCCACTTTCAAATAGTGAGAGATTTCATTCTTTCAAGTAAAGCTAATTTTTATGGAACAAAAAATCAAGATGATGGAGTTTCCATAGCAACGAAACATTTTCACAGAAAACACCTTCCAAATGTTGCCCCCACCTATCCCCCACTCACCAAACACAAACACACAAGTTTGATCAATGCCACTAAATCCACAAAGCAAATAAAGGATGAAATTACAATGCACTACTGATTGTGAAAACTGGATTACCTTCAACAGGAACCGGAGAATGTTTCAGCATCTCATCGACATGTTTTGTCACAGTTGAGATTTTTGTGACATCCAGATTACCACATATATTGACTATATTCATATAGGCTCCTTCCACATTTGTTGTAGCATTTCCAATACCAAAAGAGGCAGTGAGTCCTACTATCTGTCAAAAGAAATGAGTACATAATATATATACATACACTTTAGAAACTTTACGCAAGCTCTTTGTAAGTAAAAGTAAGTATGTGTTAAATGGTGAAATGCTGTATGTTTAACGTGGACTATCAACACTTTTAGGCTATTTAAAAGGTGGGACCTCTGAGTTTAATGCCTATCTCCGAAAAGACCATACCAAATGAGAAATTCATGTAAATTGCCTTTCCAAGGGACACAACATTGGACCAAGCTGAGACTCGAAAACCCAAACCCACAATCTCACGATTACTGGCCTGATAGTAAGAGTGTGAATATGGGTTTGACTCCCCTTTCAACACTGTTCAGTTCTTTGAAAGATAAAAACATAATTTGGTGCTTACTATGAGGATCTCACCTTTTCAATTCCTCAAACATAACATAATGGCTGCAAATCAAATGGAAAAAGCAAAAATGACTTCGGGATCCCAAAGTCATTTTTGACTTTTCCTTGTTTGCTCATTTATTAGTTCTCTAACTTCTAAGTAGCACTGGAGTTGTTTGCTTTCTAGTGAAAGGATTGTATTCTATGATGGTCCGTAAGGTTTGGCTAGGATTTTTTGGAGAAAAGAAGGAATGTAAGAGGTTGGTCAAGATAAGGGGACAATTTAGATCCATTAGTGCTCATGAGCATTCTAGATTCTGTTTTGTGTATGCATGATCTCTTAACTAATGTGCAGGACTCTGTAAATCCAAAAACTTTACTACATATCTTGTTAACACACATACAGAACAACCTATCTATGTAACCAAAGAAACCATCTCAGTTTCCCCCATGTTCTGGGATACATGATTGGCAAATTTTAAAAAGTATCTTTATTGAAATAAACATTTTACCAATGTTTATCAAGACTTCTGTACTCATACGCTTCTAAAGAAGATGTTTCCCATTAAAATGGCATTCCCATTTCCTTCCCTCACTCAAACTGTACAAGACTGGATAAGTTCTAGTAGGTTTCTTTTAACCCTCTTTCACACACATCGACTTATGTTTAGCCTTTCTTCATTTCGACAGGCGTTTGGAACTGGCGTGCTTATAATAATATTATCTTTATCTAAAAAAAAAAGAAAAAACAATGCCGAAGAACTCAATGGGTCCATTCTTTGAATGTGCAAAGACAAATAGTTGAAGCCTTCATCACATTGTTTCAAAACCTTCAACAAGACGACAAAAAGTTCTTCATCTACTTTAGAATGTCGATGACAAGCTTTGATGAGCTTCCGAATAAAATAAGGCCAAAGATTTTAAAGGCGGTAACAAAAATGAGAGATGCTATTTCAGTGCAGAAACCATGTGTTCAGTAAGAACTATGTGAGCAGGAAATGCAACAGAGACGGCTGATCGTCAACTAAGTCTAGTATGAGCGCACTCATAGTGTATATTTTATGCCGTAGACAGTATGGCGCAGTGCAGAAATGAAATATAATCACCCATACCACTGCAGCCGTACACGACGAGATGCCATGGTCGATAGATGTGAAAGTGCTCATAGGCTGGAGTTGTTGTTTCAATGCATGACGCCGTATCGCCCACGGCGGAGGGCGTTTGGTCAGTGTGTGTGAAAGAAACCTAACTCTGTCCACAGGCCAAAGGAACCCAATTCTATAAAATAATACATAGAATTTTGCGCCCATTTCTTATCTCCAGTTTTATATGAAGGCATGAGTTCTCCCGTGCGTGTTTCTCTTTCCATTTTGTCCTGAAACACTGTTCACAGGACTATACTAAAAATGATAATCAGCTCTGTGTATACACCACAACATAGCTGGCATATTGTAAATACCATTTGCTTGGTGCACTAACTGAACTTGCACGCTGAATCCACCCATGCTTGCAGTTGAAGCAAAACTCTGTAGATCCTCAACAAATACGGATGTTGTCTCTAACTGAACTGTATGATTATTGAATGAAACATTTATTCCTACTCCGCCATGCATTTGTTTTCAGCAAATAGCTTAAATAGGTACAGAGTTACATAAGGGAAGTAGTGATGCTGAAAATGAGATGACAAGATTGGCAGCATTAGATGTGATAAGATGAGATGACATACGATCAGATGAAATGAGATGAGACATGATGAGATGAGAGGAGACAAGAGAAGACGAGATCAATCTTTGTTGACCAGACATGGCACATTGGTTTGCTGTTTGGTTTGCTGTTTCACACACACACACACACACACACACACACACACACACACACACACACACACGCACACACACACACACACACACACACACACACACACACACACACACCTCCTCTTTTCCAAACACATGTTATCATACACACATAATATGCTTACACTCACAAAAAGACTTACACGTGCATAATAAAATATGACATAAATTTAAAATTGTTAACATAGACAATGTTTTATGCTAGCTACATTTGTCTGTGTGCCTGGAAACAAGTTCCAGTTTTCAGCAAAGATATTTTTGAGCAATGGGGTGAAAAGGTAAAAAAAAGTCATACCTTTTCAAACATTTAGTTCTATCAGAAAACACATGTTTAATAATTTCCTAATAACATATTATTATTTAACATTTAATAATACTTTAAGTTTGTTTTAATATATTATTTTTTTGACAAGTTGTACTTCACCAAAGGTTAAAAATGTGCCAGAAATTGGTTTTTCAACAAACTTTGTTTGTACTCCCTGTGTCACAAAATGTGGCATATCTTTAAAATTACTCAAGATATTTGAAAAATAAAAAAATCAGCGTGTTCAGCATTGAATTTGCTACAAGAATATGTCCACATTTCAATATACAATATTTTCGTCAACTGGGACTTTTCTCCAAGCACACAAACATTTTATCGAGTATCTCGCACATTTGCTGGAAAGTTGTATCCCTCTCAGCCTGGGAAGGCCCCAACAGGCAGGGGTCCAAGCACCACATCTCCTAAATAATCTAAATTGAGTTGAAGGAGACTTAATACATATGTACAATTGCAATGATCTTTTTCAGGCCAGATGTGGCAGTGCCGGCATTTGAGGTGTAGCAGTTACTCTCTTCGGCATAACATGCAGAAGATGTGAGTTCCATTCTTGAGTGAAGTCTCTTTTATTTTTAATTGAGTGTCTCTGAGTTTCATTCTTGAGTAAAAAAAAAAAAAGGTGGGTTTGTTTTTTGGGGTTTTTTCTATATTGAGTTTCTCCATCAGCGGAGATAGTATCCAATTTGGGCCTGGTTGGCCATGATGGGAAGTTGTGCCGATGGAAGCCAAAAAAAGTGTACAATCACATTATGTGAGATGTAGATGTTGCTGTCCCAACTCTTTAAAAACTATGATACATTCTTGAAAATAATACAGCCCCCCCCCCTATATTGACCCAAGGTCAGTCTTCTTCTGACGACTGCTTTGACCGCATCTATAAGGCCCCAACCCAGGCTGTGTCATCTACATTCAGGCAGGATGACCAAGACATTCACTAAGATATCTTCCCAACACCAGAATCAAATTATGACTACAGGGTGCAACACCTCCCCACCCCCTTCCCCCCGAGCAGATTAGCTGTAGTCAGGCAGTGTTAGGGTGCACAGAGAAAGTGATTACCTGTGGTAACTTTTCACCACCTGTTTCCTCTTTGGTCTTGTGATAGGCCTGCATGAGTTTGTTGTAGATCTCATTCTTCTGTGTATGATGGCACTCATCAAATATGATAAGGGTCAGGATCTTGAGGCTAGAGTTTGGAACAGCGTTGAGGTGGTTCAACAGGATCTGAGGTGTCATCACCACAACATCATACTTCTTGATTAACCCGTGAACCTCCAGGCATCCATACTCTCCACCTGTTACCTTTAAAACCTATTTAGGGATAAGAAGACAATATGACATACTTTTATGACAAAGAACAGGGCAAATCTGGTACAGTAAAGTACTGACTATATGATTCAGCAGCACCCATGGTATCTGAGCAGCCTTTTTAGGACGGCACTGCTCACCCCACAAAGGGAAGGGGCTGGAAAAGGTGCCTTAAAGAAAGCTCACCTCATCTACCCAGACTGGTTTACTGCAAACAGATGGGACACCACAATACGGTCAAAAATGTTTTTTAAACTAAAAAATAACTCTTCTCTGCCAGAATTGGTCTCATCTGCCATATCAAAAGCCACAAGTCATCTCAATTCTTATTTTTTTCTATTTTGCTCAAAACATGTTCTCCGCATATGCATTGGTCATTGTCAGACATTGATCTATAAACTATTATATTAATAACCATTATTATCATATAAAGTACTGATTCTAGTTTCAACGCAGTAAGGTAATTTTAAGATGTGAGACATCCAATTCCCCGTCCATCTTCGATAGAACAGGGACAAATAGTTGGAGGTCACAGAAATGTCAAAGACAAGGTTGCCCTATCGGAAATGGTAATAAAGACCGAACAGAATAAGAACAAAAGGTGGCCCAACTGACAGTTATACGAGTATGATTAGGTGTAGGGCAATCACCCAGGCCCTGAAAGTGTCAAAACTAGAGGAATTAGCCAGGAACAGGCGAGCGTGGCGGTGACTGCTCTCTACCTTGTGTACCGGATGGTGAAGACAGTAATTTTGATAATAATAGCTCGTCTATCAATGTCTGACAATGAGTAATACATCTACAAAGGAGAATATTTCTCCCATGAAAGAGAAGAATGAGAAGAATCAAAGGTTAAGACGACTTGTGGCTTCTGCTGCGGCCAATGAGACCAAATTTGGTAGAGAAAAGTTCGCCACCTTTTCAACATTTATTAATTCCACTTCCGTTTGTGGATGTGTGCAGCTTGCGGGCCTCTCTCTTAGTTATTATCATTAAGAGAAATTATTATTCATTAAGTAAGTTAGAAAAGAATACTCTTTTAACAATTTTTGTAGGGGTTTCAACCATGTTCATACACCCAGTTCAGTATGATACCAACTCAACTGCAAATGGTTGCATCAAAACTGTTTGTCAACATTACATATGATTATGAAATATAAACTTAAAACTAGAAAAATTTATGTAAAAATACAAAAAGGGATAGCTCAACTGTTTGATTCCCAACCATGCTTGTTTCTGACACTGAAGACACTGCTGAAAAAAAAACCCAACTTTTTAAAGCCGAATCAAAACCATTTTAATGATAAGTTCCATCCTTGACATTGCTTTATAACACTTTGAATACGGAGGGCTATTCAGTGTTTGTACCCGCCAGTTTTGTCATCCAATTTTTTTAGCATCATAATCTCCCTCTATAAGTCCACCCCTATTTAACATCATCATCCTCAAGTGCCAGATCTGTGGCAGACATCAGAGATCATGGTTCTCCATTCATTCCTTTGCTTGGATGCCCTTAAAAAGGCTACGTTACCTTGATCTTTCCCCTTTACCCATCTGTTTAGGTTGCTCTGGGTCTACCCCAGCTTCTTTGCCTTCAATTTTGCCAGTGAGAGTTAGATGTTCAAGACCTTTATGTCTATACAGGTGTTCCAAAACCTTCATTTGTCTTTTCCCGCTTGTTTTAACAGTGAGCATCCCATGCAGGCTTCATCAAGTGCAACCTCATTTGAGTTCTTTTCCTTCCACAATATTATCAGCAGTCCTAAGACACCACATTTCTGTTGCTTTTTTTTTAGTTCTTTTCCTTCCACAATATTATCGGCAGTCTCCTAAGAAACCACATTTCTGTTGCTTTTTTTTTTGTTTTCACTGTCTTTAGTGATTATCCAGCTTTATCCAGCCATATAGAAGGGTTGACCATAGCATTTCAGAACTTTCAATTTGGTAGTCATTGAGATGTTTCTATTTTTCAGGATTGGGCTCATTTTATTGAAACCAGCCTTAGCCATTGCAATTCTTCGTTTTACCTCTGTGGAACATTTGGCATCAGATGTTATTATATATCCTAGATATACTGTTGGATTTGTTTGATCTTTTCACCCTTGCTTATGAGATTACAAATAGGATTTGCTGCTTTATGCACTCTGTTTTCCTTACATTCAACAATAACCCTTTAAGTTCAATTTCCATACAACAGTATCTGGAAGCCATTGGTTTGTCCTTTTCCAAGTCTGCTATTAAAACTGTGTCATTAGCATATCTGATGTCATTGATACTTTCACCATTCACTTTGAGACCTGGACATTCTTCTATATTTCTAAGGATTGTTTCTCTATGTTTAAGAGGTCTGGAGACATAACACATCTTGCCTCCATTCCTCTTCTAATCTGCTTTTCACTGTATTCTCTATTAATTTGTACAGCAGCGTTTTGGTCCGAATACAAATTCCTGATGATTCTTAGATCTTTTATTTCAGTGCCTAGTTCTTCTTGCGCGATAATCCTTTCAACAGGGATATTATCTGGCCCTTTCGCTTTTCCTTGTTTCCTTTTCTTAAGGGCAGTTTGTACTTCTTTTTTCAGTACTGGTGGTCCATTTATTTATTTATTAATCACTGGTCCTAATCAACGTATGTGTATAAAATGAATACCAAAATGAATGCTTGATGGATGTGCTGCGCTTTGAATGTAGATTTTTGCTATGGCTGTAAACCATAATAAAGCTTTGTCGAGTTAAATTTTGAAAAAGCAACAAATCAACAATTCAATACGTCTTTAACTTGCATAAAAGGCCCCTCTTCATATGTAAATAGTCTACTTAGCTCTTTGACTATGTAAAGAACAGGAAGCATAAAAGTCTTTAAAGTTTAGAGAAAAGAGTCAACAATTTTGAGGCAAAGATTTTTTTATAAAATTCAGAAACACAGTTTCAGCTCTGTGAGAAGAAACCTTGACAAAATGTGCTCCATCATTTACAGTATGAAACTGCACAGGTTCTAGAAACTGCAGACATAATTTTCCAGTGTATATTCGATATTGTCCAAGACAGCCACTCACTGTCGAGGAGAAAGATGGTTGTCTAAGACAGATGGGTGTTTTGGACAGTGTCAGTACAGTATTACAGAAAAAAAGCATGGGGGAAGCGAAAAGAAATCGTTTGTACAGGTATTTGTATTTGAAAGGAGGTCCAACACTTTACATTATTTTGTAACTGCAGGTTTCTGTTAAACCACAGGGCAGGAAGCAAAAACAGCATATCTTGAAACTTATTGTAAGTCTTTTTGTAAGTCGTGGTCAAGAGAAAACGCACAGCTAGAGTCTTGCATGTCATGTAATTTTTTTCTTATTTTTTAATGGTAGGTGTTTCACATCCTCATCAACACATTTTATATCAGTTGGGAAGTGGGCTGCTTCAATCCTGCCTGTCAGGGCCAGCCAAGCTGAGAGAGATATAACGTCCCTGCAGAGTGAGGAGAAACTCAATAAAATTTCTCCTCACACAGTCATCAAACTCATGTCTTCTCCATGCGATGGCAAAACACCTGATACACAAAGGATGCCAGTTATAAGATGTAAAACTGAATAAGAACTTTGTCAATAAGATATCAAAGGCCAGTGCTTTTATGATGACTGTCACATGGGTATTTTGGGGTGAAAAGTCAGTACTTCATACAATTAATGTCAGTCCCATTCACCAACAGGAAGAGCACCTCGGACCTCTCTTTTTTTTCTTTTTTGTACAGTCCAAGTAGATAAGCTGTAAGGACAAAAAAAACCCAAGGCCAACAAATTCATTTCCACTTACTTCATACTTATCCTTTAGACGTCGTTGTAGATAGCTGTACTGCTGTTTCACAAGAGGGACCGTCCGAGCAAGGAACACAACTTTGGCATCCTCTAGATACATGAGCACATATTATATATAATGTCATAAGAGTGTGAAGTAATGTTTAATGGAGCAGGAAAATACAAAGCATTAATTGTTTTCCAAAATAGAAGTATTTTGCAACATTTCTTTAAGTTAAAAACCATTTACCAAAATAAAAAGTGAAAAAAAAAAGAAAAGGTCACAACTCAGGTTAGCCTCTCTGAAAAGGTAAAAAAAATTTCATCCATTCCTTCAATCAACAAAAAGGCATGCAACATACTGATCCTAAAGGAAGTACAATTCTTCTTGGCCATACATATACACAGATATATATACAGTCGAACCTGAGTAAGACGGAATCGAAAGGGAGCCAGAAAAAAATTCCGCCTTAGACAGGGGAATTTAGGGGGAGATGAAGGGGGGTTTCAAAGGCCCAGCCAGTGGGATCAAGGATCGCTTGTCTGAATGGCAAACAGAGGTCAAAATATAACATCTCTCGAGTCAGTACTATCCTCTCTGATAATGACAAGTGTCAATCTTACTTTTCGAATTACCATCAGTGCTAGCATTTCATAGGACCACTGTTAGACCTATTAAAAACAGAAACATTTGAACATCTCCTTCGCTTCCACCCTTAGCCCTACCCATAGGTGTAGCAAGCACAGTCAACCAATGCCACCCCTCCCTGCCATGTAACAACGATTCGAGGAACTCTTTTCTTGGCTGGATGTGCGATAAGGGCGTCAGGCATTGATCAAACTAATTTCACACCTCTGGCCTCTGACTATCAATGAAAGTTTCCGTGCTTGAGAGCCACTCAAGTACTTTCACTGGTAGATCTAGGCCCTACTTGTGAGTTTTCACATCCACAGCACCTTGACCATCTTCATCGCTCAGGGTCCCATAGATCGAGTAATATCTACCCTCAAATTGCAACCCTACTCCCCTTCCTTGCCCGGTAGTATGGTGTTAAATTTAGAGCCGGAGGAACGAAACTTACAAGTTTTGTTTCAAATCAGGGCTGAGCGGGCAAAGCATTTACCGCCTTAGACAGGTAAAACCCTCGGAAGGGAGCGGATTTTTCTTCCCGTTTACGCATTGGACAGGTTTCCATTTTATTTTTATACAGATAATTAAAGAGGAATATCTCAAGGGGGGAGCGAGGAGATTCTGTTAAGTCAGGTTTCCGTTTTACACAGGTTTCCATTTTATACAGATAATTAAAGAGGAATATCTCAAGGGGGGAGCGAGGAGATTCCGGCAAGTCAGGTTTCCGTTTTACACAGGTTTCCATTTTATACAGATAATTAAAGAGGAATATCTCAAGGGGGGAGCGAGGAGATTCTGTTAAGTCAGGTTTCCGTTTTACACAGGTTTCCATTTTGTTAGTTTTATAGAGGTTTTACGGCACTCGCAACTGCATAAGGTCATATGAGCACCAGGAGAATAGAGGTGTTACAAGAGAGTAACAAACATAAAAAGAAGAAGGGGAGATAGGACTATAGATGTTTGATAGGAAAGAAGAAGCAAACCACACAAGAGCACCCGTCAACCAGCCACAGGTTTCCGTTAAGGCAGGTTCAACTGCATATAGATATATAGATAGATATATAAAGGTTTAGTCTGCAAATTTTTAAAATGTACAAAGCCCCAAGGAAAATTTTACAGGAGAGAGATAAGAGACAAAACAGTTTCATTCTTTTAACTAATTGTACTTACATCATGTATTTTTCTTGCTTTTTTTTCAACTTTTTTAGATTTTGAATTTCATAAAAACATTATTTTTCGAGTACAAACAACCGATGCCACAGATCAATCAACTGCAATAAAATAAAACTTTTAAACTTTGGGCCGAGTACATTTTAACAGCTGGCCATATATATGAGGGGGTGAGATGCAAAACCCGCTAATCAACATTTTGAAGAAAAATCGAGATTTCTAGGCTATAAATACACATTGTTACCGGCTATCAGATGCACAAAGTGTTTTTGGCCAAAACCCAACATATCCGTCAAAAAAGCCACTGCGCGCTCATATGACCTTAGCAGTTGCGAGCGCCGTAAAACCTTATACTATACATACATAAAAGCCACCAACAAATCTTATTTTCACACATTTTTAAGTATAGAAGGATTTTAAAAAGCTGATTTTCTCAAAAGTGCTCAAATGGATGTAGCGGGATTTGTATCTCAGCCCCTCATATACATATAATACATATAGTCAAACATGTCTCGTGGCGTCGGTGGCCTAGTGATTAGGCTCTCAGACTCACAACCGTAAGGTCATGGGTTAAAATCCCGCCAGGGACCCGATGTTGTGTCCTTGGAAGAGGCACTAAGACTTTACAATAAATTTTCCTCACTTCACCCAGGTGGGAATGGGTACCAAGCTATAGACAGTGAAAGATCTTGTCAGTTTGTTAGTGTTTGAGTGCTTAATCAGTTGCTAGTACTGTATGCTTCCCGGGAAGCTGAGAATGTGTCTGAGTGTTCTATGGTTCGCTGGGGTAATAATATACAGTGTAAAGCGCATAGAGTTTGCTGAAGAAAGGGGTTATGCGCTATACAAATGTTATTTATTATTATTAACTAAAACCTGTAAAAGGCGGGAACTTGCACAACGGAATACCTCCTCTCACCCTTTGATAAATCCCTCTATAATTACCCCTATAAATTATTAACCTGTTCTACCTGGAAACAGAAAGAGAAATTCCGTCCCTTCGGAAGGTTTTTACTTATGTGTGTGTTGTGTGTGTGTGTGTTGTGTGCGTGTGTATGTGTATGCGTGTCTGAGTGTGTGTATGAGTGAGTGTGTGTGTGTGTGTGTGTGTGTGTGTGTGTGTGTGTGTGTGTGTGTGTGTGTGTGTGTGTGTGTGTGAATGTCTGTGTCTGCGCGTGTCTGTGTCTGAGTGCGAGGCCTTTTTTTAAGCCTTTCCAAAATGAAATATGAGAGTGAACGACTTCACAGAGCTACAGACCATGTCTCAAACAAAGAAGAGTTTCTACCTCAAAATGAGATAGTACGACTGTCTTAGTGTTAGAAGTGTGAATGGTTACAGTTATATAAATATTAGCTTTTTACAAAATTTCCAATGTCAACGACAGGAAAAATTCCTATTTCATCGAAGCTATTAATGTATCAGCAGCGAATAAAAGAGGGGGAAAAGTACCCTTTTTCTGCAAATGCTCTTGAATGATGTGCAGGGCAACTCGTGTCTTCCCAGAGCCAGTCGGAGCACAAATGACAGTGTTGTAGCCCTTGACAGCATTCTCTGCCAGTTCGGTCTGATACTCCCTCATGCAAAGATCATTTTCTTGACCATCCAGTTCTGAATGGCATCAGAAATAATTTTTCAAAATAAAAATGGCATATATGACGATGATATGACTGTACAATATATTGTATACAGTATACAGTAAGAATAATGGACATGCATAATGCACACACACACACACACACACACACACACAAACACACACACACACACACACACACACACTCACATACACACACACACGAATACAATGTATATATATTTACATATATGTGTTTGTGGGCATGTGTATATGTATACATGTGTGTGTGTGTGTGTGTGTGTGTGTGTGTGTGTGTGTGTGTGTCTGTGTGTGTGTGTTTGTGTGTGTGTGTGAGTGTGTGTGTGTGTGTATGTGTGTGCATGTGTGAGTGGTAAATAAATGTGACAGTACATGAGCATTCCCATTGGAGAAACAGTTTTAAAAAAGGAAAGCGAAATCAGACACTTGGTTTTCAAAGTACATGTATTGTAAAGCTCACCATTTATACAAAAGCTGTCTTTAAGGAAATACATTGAAGAAATTACAAGAATATATAGTCATTTGGATATTTTTCTATGTGTAGGAATGTACTAAAAATTGTCAAGAGTGCACTTTGATGAAGCCTGCAATAAACTGGTAAAACAGTCTCTTGTTTATTGTCCAGACAGTGCCATATTAATGTTCTATCCTTTAAAAGTCTACAAACTATAAATGTATACGAAAGCTGTGATAATGCTGATTTATCCTCTAACAAATAACACTTTTGACTAAATAAACTGCAGAGCTTGATGGATTAGTACGTTTAATATCTAAATTTAAGCATTAAAACAACATACCTAGGCAATCATCTCATTACAAAACCATCTTTTCATGAGATGATTTATCTCAACCAATAGATAATGTTTTTACCTTCTTCTTATATCAGTTCCAAAGTGCATGTTTATTTTTTAGAAGAATGAAACAGTTTTTCTCTCAGCTGAAAAATTTGGTTTTTAGAGCTTGTGAGATTTTAACATCTTGGCAACGATATACTAATGTGTACGTCTAGCTGTAATAAGCAACAAAAAGTTGTTTTATAACCTGGGCCCTGCAATCTTACAAATTTATTCTGCCTAAGGTCTACAAAAGCCAAGTGATGATCTGAGTACCTGAAAACAGCCTTATTTCCTTGTCATCTCAATCTGCTTATACTTAGTAACTCTATAGGTCAGTTGTTACCCACTAAGTGTTGAACATGATTTATTTATTATTGTGTATGTCAAGTTGTCATAACTAACAAAAAAAACCTTGGTTTTATAACCTGGGTCCTCAATTTTGCAAGCAGATTTGTAAAAATGACTCTAGCTAACCAAACTTTGTTTTGAGCTAAGGAACTTGAAACAGCCTTTTTCTTTTTCATCCAAATTTTTTATGTAAGATGTTATGTTGATCATTACACTCTTAGTGTTAAACATAATCTATATAGGCCTACTAATATATAGTTGTAACAACCATCAAAGCATTTTGCTTTACAACATAGGTCCTGCAAATCTACAAGTAGATTCGTACTGACTAAACTCTTCTCAAAGCTGATCTCAAAAGCTGAAAACAGTCTTATGTCTTTGTCATCTAAATTTACTTAGTAACTTTTTTATGTTGGCGGTTACACTCTCAGTGTTAAATACGACCTAATTGCCCCACTTGTTTGGAATAGGTTTCCAAAAACTATCAGAGAAGCAGAAAATCTAGACATTTTTTAGGAGAAACTAAAAGCATTTCTATTTTCATCATATTTCGATCAGACAAAATCCATCCAAGCTGTAGATCGTCGTGAGTTTATATGTGCATATGTACGTATGTGTGTATGCGTGTATGTATACGTGTGTATGTGTGTGTGGTGCGTGCGTGCATGAATATGTGTGTGCACGTGTATGTAATACTATGTGCCTTTAAAATTGATTTGTAAATCTATAATATGTATCATGTTAAGCGCATAATAAGTGGATGCGCTATATAAATGCAATCCGTTATTATTATTAATTGCACTGGTCAACAATGAAATAGGCAAAGCAACGAAAGTTGCCAAATTTTATAAAAATTAATGTGCTGATTCCAATGTTGTTAGTTTTCATCTAATAGCGCAATTTCTTTTGCAGAATTTACATATTTATATAGTTTCAGATATCCTTCATTTTGTCAGGGGAGGTAAGAATAACAGTCTCAATTGAACAAAGGGAAGTAACTTATTATTTCTAAAAAAGCAATTAATCAAATATGTTATATTTGCAGAACATTTTTTGTCACATTTTTCAATGACCTACTGTTTTAAAATTCAGGCTCTTTCTTTTCTATAGCTTATTAGCAATATAGATAGCAATAACAATAAAGGAACCGAAATTTCGAAAGACAAAGCAGAAAAAAGCTAAACAGTGTTTTTAAATTGTGAAATAAAGTGATTAAGAAACTTGAAATAAGGTAATTATTAGATGATCATTAATTAAACTAATGTAAGTGGTTTCCATTGTTAAGCTGCATTACTTTGAGAAATAATTCTTGAATTATGTGTCCACTGTCCACCCAGAGCATTTCCAGTGATTTTCTGGTGTGCTGCTACAATGTCTTTTTTGGGGGTAAGTGTTTTACGGCGCTCGCACCTGCATAAGGTCATATGAGCACACGGGACACATTAAACTTTTTCAGTTGATAGGAAATTTTGAATCTTGCTCGGGTGGCAGCCGAAGCCTACTCTTATCAATTTTAGACCACCAAGGGATCTTTAACGAGCGCAACTTGCACACGGATCCTCCAAGATTTTTCGCCTTTGTCCGAGAAGGCTAGGTGTAGATCTTTCTTACCAGAAGATCAGGGGTGTGGCTGAAAGACAGCGGTAAGAAGGAGCCAAAGAGTAGCAGTAGAAAGGCTGCAGAAAGAGTCAGGAGTCCAGAGAAGGGGGCAAAGGAGGTGAGGGAGTGGGGGCAGAAAGAGGAGACGGAAGTAGTAAACAGAACAATGCTAGAGGGCAGGAAAGGGGGTGAAAGAAGACAATTTTAGAGAAGAATTTTTTTCGGTCGCTACCCTAATTCGAACCTAGGACTTTTGAATGAGAGGCCAACACCTCTTATTGACCTCTAGGTCACGAGAGCCCCCTACAATGTCTGGAGGAAAAAGAAATTCCCAAGTGTCAGTGGTGCTAATTAATTTGGAAGAGGGCATTTAAGTTGGACCTGATATTAATCGAGTTGCTTCATCTGTCTGCTTGGTTGGCCTTAACAGGTAGGGTCTAAGCAGCCACCTCCTAAATTATGTTGTTGGAGCATAAAACATCCAGAATTACATATTATTAAAACAGTCAAACTATCCATAAGAGAGTAAAATACATATCGTGAACATGTCAGTTTTATAAGAGAGAAACAATGTGATATTAATAGACTCATTATTCAACCGCTTAGAATAAGACAACAGCAAGCGCTTTTTTAAAAAGTGACGTATGATGGAGTTTAACACTGAGCAGTCGAAATGTTTTGTATCCATCAGAGCTTTTTATCTTAATTCTGACAAATGATAAGGCACTCAGCCATGTGGTAAACTACTTCTGAGACATTCAGGGTTCGGATACTCTGAATTGATACTACCACTTATAAAGCCTCGGTTAAATTCAACATATCATACATGTTCCACCCTAGTGGAGAAACTTGCTACTTATATTAGATGCTAATTTGTACTTTTGGAGAAAACTTTAAAAAAAATTATTTTCAGTATGATGTAGGAAACCCTTCCAGGATGGCATATCTTACAATTTTACAAAGACAATTTCCAGCATTTTTCTTTTAAATACAACCTGCATTTTAATATCCCTTTATTAGCATAAACTAATATCTTTTTTAAAATATACACTTTATTGACACATAACAGAGTTTGCTCCTCTATACACAGAGTGAAGTTTTCCTTTTCGTACAGCAAACTAATGTGTGACTTGACAAAACACAACAATTTAAGCACGTAAGGTAGCATGGTGAAATTAGGTGCTCGTCAAGATAATGAAAGAGAAGAAACGGGCATTTTTCCACCGGTTTGGCAATTTTTATCAAATTTGTATTTTTTGGTTCAACGCCTCTAATGCGTATCCAAGATCGCATTTCTATGTGGATCTTACAGAAAAACGTTTATTAAAGACACAAAAAAAAAGAATTTTTTTGTTTCCAAGTACTCTCAAGCTATGGAATTCACCAAACTTTGGCGGCCATTTTCTTGCTAATTTTACCCCTCAAACCGGGCAACCCCCACCTGCGGCAAACGCAAATATCTCGACTTCTATTCAATAGATGGGTATTTTAAAAATCAAATCAAAAGCGAGAATGATGAACAAGCTTCAAGATGATATCAATAACTACACATGCCCAAGAGCGGAGGAGTGCCTGATTCCACTACGTCGTGACACATATCATTTTACCTTCTTCCGCACCATGTTCTTTTACATCACCATCATCATCAGCTAAAATCTCAACACTTGTTTCGTGTTTGTTTCCCTCTCCAAAGAGACGCTTCAAGGCTGGACTATCAGATTCCTCTTCGGTCACTTTTATTTTCTGAAAGCTATTGCACACTGAAATAAATTAGAAAAACCGTCAATGTTATTTCAGTGCAAACACTTACGGTATTGAAT